TTAATCTAAAGGAGGAAGCTTTTAGTAATGTTAGAGTTGATTCTCTGACATGGAATCAAATTTTTATAAGGCTAGGACTGCTGGGATCCCAGCTTTGCCAGTGATTCACTCTATAACCTTGAATTTCAAAGAAGCTGGAAGTTGGGGGAAAACAGGGCATTACTTAAAGCTAAATATGGCTTTTGAACCCTTGGATAAGGTTATGAAATTAAACAAAACCCATTGCTGTTGAGCTAAATCATTTTAAAAAATGAGTCCCATTTGCTCTCTATCACTATCTTATGGAAGCAGACTGTTAGATCTTTCTCCTAGGTTGGTGCAGCTGAGCTTGAACTGTTGACCTCTGGTTAGTAGCTTACCATATAACCACTGCACCACCAGGGCTCCTTAGATAAGGTTAGAGATATTTTTAAAATGCACCACTTGCTGACAATTTGGACTTTTAGAGGTCACTGTGCTCTAAAATTAGTACTCAGGAAGGAAGAATATAGGTTGGCTAATTTTCTTGAGTCCCATTTAATTTCCTTTTTTTCAGTTTTACATAAAACACACATGAAAATTTATTCTATAGTATTCACCGATCTAGGTTGCTTCTCTTTACAGTAAAACATATCCTGCTTATAAATATGCAAGTAGTTTCCAGTAATCAAATAATGCCTTAAACTTGACCTTAAAAGTGATTCTAAAAATATCCTTTAGAACTCCTACAGTATTTTTGTGTAACTCAGAATATCTTATTTCCATTTTTTACCCTGAGGAGAGGTTACTTAGGTAACAGTGACATCCTACTAGACATGTCCTTAATGCGAACATTAAAAAGTACCATGTAAAGCACAATTCTCTCTGTAAAACCTGTAAATATATATGAATTCAATTAAACACACAATCGGTATCCTAAGTGGGTCACGTTGTAATTAGGAGATTCTACTAACAGACCTTGGCTGTCTAATAGGCACGTAGTACATTAAACTCTGTGGATGCAATTCTCCTTGACTATGGTGGAGATATCTTCAGTTAATTAAGATTTCAGTGGCCTCACAGGGCTGAAAGACAAAAAGGGCTTTTTAAGGCAGCCCTTCATCGTCTTTGCTTTTACAAAGAAATCGCCTGCGTGGACATTTTATGACAGCATTCTTCACAGTTAGAGAAAGATGAGTCTTTATCTCATTAGCTTTTATCTACCACTAATACTTTAGTCAGCTTCTACAGGGCTTGGTTATAGTCATCTTTCTTCTGCTGTACCTAGCCTGACAACTGGCACTTGGCAGATAATCAATGTTGTTATGTTGAACTGAATTTCTTTTAATGTGCTCCCTCCCATTCCAACTTGCCATTAGGAAGAAGTACAGAATTGAGTCCCTAAACCCTTTGCATTCTTGCTGTTCTCTTGCTAGACTCTTGCTTTGAACGGGCTTTATTAAGGACCTACAAAATGCAAGCCTTCGTATTCTTTATATCAGGGCAAGTAACTTCTGGGAAATTGGCTCTCCCTCACGTCTCTCTTAATTGCTCTTTTTCTTCATGGCACTTATTTACTTCCTACCGAAAGTTTTGTGTTGACTCTATATTTTCTCTGACAAAGAAAAGAGAGCTATGTCCTGGGAATGAAAGCCTATGCTTGCTGATGTGAGGTGCTGCTTTCTTTACCAAGTCTGATTGTGCAACACCCAGATCCAAAAGGGGAAATGCCAACAAAAAAAATGCCAGTTCCAAGGTATTTACTGGATGGAAACCTTGCAAAGCAATAACTACAATACAAGGAACTATTAAGAACGAAAATATAGCATGCAAAGGTCTTTTCACAGGCTAACCCAAATGCATCAGTAAGAGTCAGCAACATCTTTAACGGGAAATGCTCTTGGCAGAGAAAAGCGAGGTTAGGAGTGCTTAACTCATAAATAGAATAAGAAATATCAAAGCTACATTTGTGGGGGAAGAAGAAAAATTGAAGAAAAAGAGGGGAAAAGATAAATTCTGACAGAAAATGATAGAGTTCTGAGAAGAACTGACTTGGTGTTTAAATTACATACTGCCGAATTCTTAAGATCAAATTGAAGTAGCAAATAGGAAATTCTGACTGCTGATCTTTTTAGAATATATCTGAATGGTTGATAGTTGCCCAAATGCAGTTAGTTGGACAATGTTGTTAGGTGCTAGAGTTGCTTCTGGCTCCCTGTGACTCAATGTACAGCAGAGGACATACTACCCAGTCCTGCACCAGCCTCACAACTGTTGCCATATTTGAGCTCATGGTTGAGGCCACTACTGTCAATCCATGTCATTATGAGGATTCTTCTCTTTCACGGATCCTTTACTAGTTAGACATTGATAGACTTAATTATTAAGTCTTAACATTGTTAAGTCTGCAACAGGGCAGACCTCTTGAGAGCTTAGTAATGATAGCCTGACAATTTGGGCCTTGGTATTCTGCTACAACAGGGTTTCTGGGAAGCCCTTGTTCTGGGAAACTGGGTTATTAAAAAATGTCCTTTGAGGAAGCTAGTGATGAACATTCCCAAAGGAATTCCAATACAGTCCATCTCATACTGAATTCCTCAACATATTGGGCAGTATTACAGCTTTTAAAAATCATCCTGCTCTTAGGCAGCCTCCATTTTTCTATCCATGTTGTAAATGTACAGGATTTGTTAAACTCATTAAATCCGCTGTGACTGATCTCATTCCAACCCCTCAAGACACCACAGTCTAACTGATCAGTAGGGTTTCCAAGGCTGGAATCTTTACAGACGCGCATTGCCGCATCTTCCTCCTGAACAGTGGCTGCTGGGTTTGAATCTCCAACCTTCAGGTCATCAGTGAACAGCAAAACATCATTGGAACAGCAAAACTCCTATAAAATTTGTTAGAATCTATTTTAGCATTTATGATACTTTTCATTCTGCTGGTAGATGCTTATGTGTCTGCTGTCTATACTGAACCTAGAATTTAGAAGATTTTTATTATTATTATCTCTGTCTATAAAATCCTTTATAGTGATTAGTACAAAGTCACCACTAAATCAAAGTCTGTAAAATTACAAACTATATGGTTAAACTAATTTTGAAAGAATATTTTCTTGAGACCGATGGTTCATCTGGAATTCCTGGGTGAGAAAAGATTCAGATGGAGGAATTAGGATAGCTTATAGAAAAAAGGAGTGCATTTTAATACAAGTATTCTAATTTGTTGACAAAGGAAAAGAAAATGAATAGTAAAGTGCTAACATTACATAAAAAGACTCTTGTGGATAAATGAAGCCAGATAAAAATATTGCCATGTTCCTCTGCTCTAATTGGCATATGGCTGAACTATGGCAGTGGTTTTGTGTCATTCCAATCAGGGAGATTAGGGGTGTCACAGAGTTCCTTTAAAAAAGGGAATCCGATCTAGCTCAGTTACTCTCGTATTTTAGCAATCTTTGTCTTATATAGTATTTGTTCTGATGGAACTGAAGTTATTTCAATCAACATAATGCTCGCTACTAACTGCCACGTTATATAGTATTTTACAAAATGTATTCTTTAGTGCTGCAGAGTATTCCATTGTGTGTGTGTAGTGGTGGGGGCGGTGTATGTGTGAAGAAATGGGAATGGTTCAATGTGGACTTGACAAGATGTTGTGATAAAATAGGCAGTTTATTGGTAGTTAATTATAAAAAATAGAATGTATGTAAATCATATAAAACACAATGTGCATGAATGAAACACAATTTATATGAATGTGTATGTAAATCATATAAAACACAATGTGCATGAATGAAACACACCATCTAAGAATTGAATAAAATGCAAAGTACATGAATGAAACAAAGTGTATATGAAGAATTATATGAAATCCAATTAAAAATTTTAAAACAAAAAAGAGAATGCTTTCAGACTTGTTCTTCAAGCATAATTTTGAAGCACATCTAGTATACTGCAAATGCACTGATATTAAGATGCAAAAATTCCAAAAGACAGGATTAATTTTGAGTTGATTCTGGCTGATAAGACACACCATGTGTTACAAGGTAGAACTGTTCCAAACAGTTTTGTTGGCTGTAATCTTTACAAAAGCAAATCACCAGGATTTTCTTCCAGTCTTCAGTGTATGATTGACAGCAACCCTATAAACAAAAGATTGGAACCCTGTTCCATCCCGCGCCATCCTCACTCTTTCTGACACACAGGAGCCCACTGCAGCAGGTTAGTAGTTGAATGCAAATAATTGGCACCTCTCAAGGACACTTGGTATATAGACACTGCACAAAACACTCTCACAGGTAAAGGTGAAGGCCTGGGAGCATTTCTTTTCCAAACTTCTGATGGGGTTCATCTTTGGAATAATTCATTGTCTTCACATCAACAAAGCAAAGGCTGTCAGCCAGAGCTGGAAATAGCCTTATTACATGGAACTATGCAGAGCCGGACTTTATAATAATGGTGTCTGTTAACAATGGGTCTCATCTGGCCTAGGTTCTCCATCTTCCATTATTTTTTTTTCTCTTTAAGGCAAAGTGAAACTCTTATACCTAGCTGAAGCTCAAATTTCTAATTTAGGAAAGCATGCATTTTCTACTTGACAATGCTTTCTCAGTACCATAAGCCTTCAATTTCTGCTTCCAGGCAATGAACAAAGTTCTCATTTCCAGAGAAAATCTGATAGGTCTTTTCAAAGAAAATCCTAATTGGTAGCACTGCTGAACAACAGGGAAAAAGAATCAAAGAGAATAGGGTTGAAAAGTCCAAGAAAAAAATAACTTTCTTTGTCTACTAATAACTAGGATTTAGGAAACAAGGAAGGGTGGACTTGCATTCCATTTCTGATTTACTGAAATGATAATTTTTAATGATTTTCCTCTTAAGATTCTATCTACAGCAGGGCTGAAAAACCATCATAAAAAAGAGTCAAGTGGCTGTAGAGAGAATACTCCCTACATTCCGTCTCCTGCAGGCCTTTCCCAGTCGGATAAATGGGCATAGGAGTTGTGGTCTGCAGAAAGCAGGTAAATTTTGACTTACCTCTGAGCCTCTTCAACCTCTGCTCCCTCCGCCTCCTTCGCACCACCAGCAGGAGAACAAAGAGTAGCAAGACCCCGACCAAGATACACGAAATGGTCACCAGCATCTTGAGCCCTTCGTTGGTGGTCAGCCCTTCTTCACTTTGGACAACTGACTTAATGAGTGGAGGGATTGTACCTGAAAACAGGGTCATGATGTTAGATGACTATTAATGAAGACAAAATGATGGCGTTTTTTTAGGGATGATGGGTTATAAATACCGCACGGGGTGAGCCGAGGGTGTCCAGGGTGATGAGAAATGAGAGAAATGCTTCACCTATGTCCTCACTAACTCAGGGTCTATCCCTCCTCTCTGTCCAGATTTCAAGCTTCTTTCATATCTCATTGAGCTGGGATCTGCACAAAAGCACCTTTCTCTGAAGGACATAATTTTGAAGGAAGACAGAAGCATATTGTGTCCAGGTGAGGTGCTCAAAAAAGCCACACTACATTTGCTTAAAATTAAGTGTCCTCTTCACATCAAGAGTGGAATTTTGTGGAGGCTGTTTGACAAATTACACATCAAAGGGGAACAACAGGGTTTACTAGCAGACAGGAGATGAGCTTTTGGGCTAAGGTGTCACACACTGAGCAGCTTAGTGAAGCTTCAAAGCCCTTTCCATTTGGTTATTCCCTTGTTTTTTGTTTAACACACGTGTAAAGCTAAATCTACTTTAAAAACTGTTGTTTTAAGGAATAAAAGCTACACACAGTTTTTTCCAAAAGGGAACGATAGTCTCTAACACATACATATTTGCTGATCAGACACTGTCCAGCAATGCTATGAGGTGCAGATTGCTGAGATTTCCTACAGAAAGGAACTGCTAAAGAGAAGGAATTCTGAGTTCTACTCTGCTTTTCTACGCACCTTTTTGTGTGCTGACTGCAAGGGATACAGAGAGGCAGAGAGAAAAAAAATACATGTTTTATGGGATCAAGGATTTTAACATCCTCTGTCATATAGGACGCCTTACCCGACTGTATTTTTCATGTAAAATAAAGGCCATTAGAGTCAATGCTTTAGAAAAAAAATTGCAAAAATATTTCTCTCCAGAGCAAAATTTGTCTTGATCTTGTGTTAAGTAAATAGAGCAGGGATAATAGATACTCTGACCTCCTATATTATCTGCCAAGGTCAAGAGGAGTGTTCTTCCACCCTCAGAAGGTTGACAACAGGACACCCTGGTCCTAAATGCATAGAACCTCAGCTAAAAGGCTTTTATAGAGACCGATGTAAGGATAGGTCTTTAAAACAAAGAAATCCTAAGGAAAAGTAGACTAGCGATAGAATAGTCAAAGAAATTTCTCCAAGTGGAGTAATTTGGACTCTGGCTAGATATGGCTGGAAGGCTACTTGTCATTGTTTTTCTCAAACTGGAAAAGTAAAAGTCTTTGCATAAGAAGAGGCAAAGGGATGCCATACCTATGTATCTGTGGGACTGGCTCAAAAAATAACCCTGTCATATTTTAAAAGTAAAAGAAAGATAAGCATTTTTATTTCCTGTCTTAATAAAGCCACGTATGCACTGTACTGTTAGTAACAATATTTTGTTCCCATGATGGTAATCTATGATGTTGCATAAAAAGAGACAATTATAGGTTTTAGAATAAAAAAAAACAGATTGAAAATCTGTGAGGCACTTTTTCTGTTAGAGTAACAACTTCCAGTTGTACACATAAGTAGTTTCAAAATGAAATGAATTGTTAGAAACAAACTCCTCACATGCACACATGGGCTGCACTCTGTGGTGTCTACATGGATTGCAAAATATCCAGGAATAGAAGGTGATTAATCAGAATCAGGTAATGTAAACATTAATTTAAAGAAGTATATTTGTTATTGAAACATGTTTGTCCTTGCAAAAAGCTCTGGTAAACACTTAAATGCTTAGTGAGAATATGTGATGTCAAAGTGCTTATGGCCAAAGAATCAAACCATGTTAGGGGCAGAAACCAATTTGAAGGTGCTACTTTGTACGTGATGATTTATGATGATGGCAGCTTTGAAAGAAGTCACTCATAGCTGAAGGCTAAATAAAATAAGAGTAAGGTAGATTCGAAAAAATATCAGCTCGCAGGGAGAAGCGTTGCACTCTGGAAAATATTCATGCTGCTTCAGGGTCTTGGGACAGAGAAGGATCTAATGGTTGCTGCTCAAGCTGGGATAACTAATCCCAGAAAAACTTGTACTTAAGACTTTCTACTGTCAGAGGAGCCTAGGCTCTGGCTGGGGAGGGAGAGGGAAGTGAGGAAATAACCTTAGATAATAGTCAGTGATGGGCATAGACAGTGAGTGCAACATGGGAGGCAGAACCAACTGTAGGTCCATCAAGGTCCAGGAGAAAGCAATCATTTGAGTATCCCAGATAGCATTAGTTTGTTTACTTCTTTTTGGCTCTGGACTATCCTTTTCCTAAGGTATTGTAATATATATTCTAAACGCCTGCTAGAGTTTTGTTTTGTTTTTAAAGCAAGATTCCAAATTCACATAATCAAAGGAGGAGAACCCACTCCAGGTTTACACATAGTGACTACAATACTAGGGTCTTTGCTTAGGTACAGACAGACACTCTGTGTTAACTCATTCCTGCTTGACGTGGAACATGCAGGGGGCTTTAGAGGAAGCCTGTGCCCACTAGAAGCAAAGGCTGGGGCTGGGGTTCAGGCTCTCACATGACCTCTTAGATTAGAGCCTCCAGTTCAGTTGCTGTCACTCTATGACAGCAAACCACCGAGGGATTTCAGGAATCAGCATCTACACGATGTTACCTAGTGCATTCTGAAGTTCTCTGGTTGAAAACAATGGGTTTGGGGTTTGGGTTTTTAAAGTTCCCTAACTACAAAGCTTAAGAAGTTCTGTATTGTCAATGATACAGTTCCTTTTATCCTCACCGGGCTGGGAATTGCCTCACATAAAAAAAAATAATGACCCTTGATATGGATTGTAGAAAAGGATAACAATTTAAAGAATTTCTTGCTGGTCAAATAAACGTTAAATGACACCTCACCTACATTTCAGAGATTCCTTTAAAGCTGTCAGTGCATGCATATATGAATGTGTGTGGGGGGTGTGTGTGTAATGGGAATGAGTGTGCATATAGACAGTGTATTGGTGTTTATATGAGTGTAACATATATGAGCATGCATACATTATACAGCCATGTGCATGTGTGAGCATGTGTGCTGCATGTATGCATGCATATGAATGTGCTTTGTGTGTGTATGTGTGTAGCATATACATGGGCATGTGTATGCGTGTTTGTGTGTATTATGAAAGGTTACACATGTGTGTTCTGTGCATCTGTTCACAACATGTGTGTGTTATAGGACTATGTGTGTTATAGATGCATGTGAGACTGTGTATACGTGCTTTTTGTGCACTGCACGTGAGCATATGTGGGTTGTGTGAGCGTGAATGTGCACACATAGGTATGCATGCTAATATCCCATCACTACTGTCAGTGACACATTTCAGCTTAGAAATTAACATGACCTCCTTTACTATGGAAAACTGTTCTGGTACATGCAATTTAAGGGCTTAATGAGAGCAAAAAAGAAAGTTGTTATGTGGATTGGGATGGGGTGGGCACAGGGGTGGAAGAAAACAAGAACAATGTTAGCTCACAGTCATTGGCAAAGACACAGGGCCACGTGGTATAGAATCCTTCAACTCTAAAATAACTATTACAAGATTTCCTAATGAGGTTCCTTGTGGAATCTTACTTCTAGACACACAAGGACAGTTACCTAAGGACTGTTAACTAAAGAGCCCAGCAGGGTGATGAATGGCATAGATGCCTAATGCATTCTGTGGACAGTGGGTGTCTGATGTCGAGGATGAATGTTAAATGGGGGAGGGGACTGAGAGCCCATGCGCTTCTCTTTCTAAGAGGACCACAGGTGACAAGACTACACAGTCAGCTGCTTACTGCCATCGTAGTTGAGCGTGGCAAAGTTGGCCTGCTTCTCTGCACAACCAGCACTGTTGCACACCCGCATCTGCAGCTCATACCAAGTGGCCTCCTGCAGGTCATATAAAATGTATGACTTGGAGAGAGAGGTCCGCTGAGCTGTGGTCCAGACCGTTGTTCCAAAAGGTCTGTACTCCAGTGTGAAGGAAGTGATGGGACAGCCGCCATCATTCCAGCCAATGAGGTTCAGCCGTACACGCGTGGTGTTGATGCTGGCAAAGAGTTCTTGTTCCTTTGAAAACTGGGGCTCTGCAGGAGAATGCAAATTGGGAAAATCAGTTCATAGAATAAAACACTATCCTTCTCAGCCTAGGTAAAGAGCTCAGTCTTGCCCACAGGTCACTGACAATAGTACAGTACATTAATAGGATGTTGTGAAGGATGTAGGTATGAGAGGGAAAACTAGATGGGCAATGTTTATCAGGGGATAGTGGTTGTTCATAGCTAAAGTTTTCTATTTCCCTGATAAAGACCTGGGTTTGATTCCTGACCAAATCATATTAGTCATGTGCAGCTACCACCCATCTGCCAATGGAGGCAGAACGGGTTTCTCAGGAGCTCCCAAACGTGGCCTGGTATTCTGCTTCTCAAAACTAGTTACTGAAACCCTATGGGTCACAGCAGTCCAATTTTGGTGCGTTGGGTCACCACAAATCAGAAACAGACTTGAAAGCAGGTATATGAGGTCTTTTTTAGAGTTTCCTGAAAAACAACATTATTTTAATTTATGGATTTCCTTCCATAGCTCTCACACAGCAAAAAAGTGGATTACCAACTACATTCCCATTAGGATGGGCTTGAGAAGACTGAGTTAGGTTTAGGAACGCTAACAGGTGATCCTTGCTTTAAATTCTTGTTATTGGAACCCAGCGAGTTGGGTTAATGTTTCTGGACAACTCAGTCTCTTATCATCTAAAGTCTCACTACTTGTTATCACAAGCTCAGAAGTCAGACTCAAGTAATGTCCTCTCCATCTGACTTCTCACTTCTGCCATTCGAGCTTCCAGGTCTGACTTCGGTATAAGGGGAACCTGCCAAATCCGGTCTTCACCTTTCTCACTACACTCTCACACAGGTACAGTATCTGTCTCAATCTTCCTGCCTTCCTGCGTTTCAGGATTCACTGTTGAACATCATTGCCTTGAGGTTCTGCTCTTAAGACTATTGTTGTTATGTGCTGTCGAGTGGCCTGTGACTCACAGTGACCCTATGTACAACAGCTCTAAACCCTGCCCTATCATTTGCCAATCTTATTGTCTCTGACACACCTACCCCCATTACCTTAATATCCAAAGTCTCTGTAAACTTTCATTAAAATTAATTTTTAAAAAAAGACTAGAAAAGGGAATGTATATTGGACTCAGTCACTGTGAAAAACAATATATACAAGCTTTGTAAGAAAACCAGTATAAAAGAATTTTTTTTAAGAGAGACTTACAGGCAAGGTGAAAAGTATAGACAGATGGGAAGGGGGTGTGATGGGGATGTGTTAGTGACTAAAGGGAAAATTTCCTCTGAAAAGTTTGAGAAAACAAATTCATTTTATTGCTACCCAACCTGAACATTGTCCTGATCTTTAGATGATACTCTTTTTAACAGCAAATGGAATATTGAGCACTTTAATTGACTTTAAAGACTGGCCATCTGTTTCATTTACACCATAGCCAAATTAATTTTTGGAATAACAATGTTCAAATACACAAGTGTACAAATACACAAGGAAACTTTAAGGACTCTAGTTCTCCCTTTGACCTGGAAAACAGAAAATCTTGAAAAAGCAACTCATACATACCTTTCCCTAATGTTTTTGCTTCAATGATTTCACTTATGCGTCCTGGTCCCACTCCATTTTGGGCTGTAAGAGTGAATTTATACCAAGTACCACATTTCAGATTTTCCAGGCGGTAAGAGCGTTCACTTGGGCTGATGGGAAAACTCCCCCACTGTTCACTGTTATCCTCAGAGTACTGCAATATGTATCCTTCAGAAAATAAAAAAGATTCAAGTGAATATGTTTGCTTTCCACTTGAAGTTGGCCTGTGTTTTCTTTTTTTTTTTTTTTAATAGATTGAATTGTGACCTTAAAAATATGTTCTATAAATCCCACTGTCTCTACCTGTGGATGTAATCCCATTTGGGAATAAATTTGCATTTGTCATGTTTATGAAGCCCCACACTTGAGTTATTAAAGGAGTAGATCAGGCACAAAGGCAAGTACCAAAAAAAGGGAAGACTATCACAATGTGAGACTGCCAAGAAATTCCTTGGAGAAGCTGAGATAGGGTCCTTCCCTCAGAGAAGATGGAGAGAGAAAGCCCCCCCACCTCATCCCCCGCCCTGGAATCTACACTCTGGATTCCTACTTCCAGCCTTCTGAAATATGGGAGAAACATGTCTCCTTGATAAAACTATATCCTTGATAAAACTACACACTTATATTATATGGGGGGTCACCCTTCCATCCTTGCTTCCTTCCTTCCTTCCCTCCCTTTTTTCTCTTTGTCCTTCTTTCTCTTTCTTTCTTTCTTTTTTAAGTTAAAACGCCATTAAGAAATTAAGACAATGCTGTGTGAGAGAAAGAAGATTCTCAGAACTCAAACATCTTGAGGAGCAAACATTTTAAATCTTCCCAATTCCGGGAAATTTAATACTGGCTGGGAAAAGTACTGTGAGGGTGAATTGATGAGTGAGGTATTTAGGCCATGCCAGACATCATCACGGTGGTATTGTTAGATAGTGTAACAAAAATAAAACCACTTTCTTCTCACTCCTTTTTAAAAGCCAGGTTGGCCAGTAAGAACAAATGCCGAGTCTCTAAATATCTGTCCTTCAAAGGATACATGCTGAAATCCTTGATCAGGAGAAGGCTAACACTGAGGTGTGGTTTTGTTTGTTTGTTTGTTTTGTTTTGTTTTTAAATTTTATTTTATTATTTGTGTGTGTGTTCCATCAAATCAGATCTGACTGGTAGAGGAGGTACAATCGTCCCTTCTTCTCCAGGAGAGCATCTGGTGGATTTGAACTGCATGCCTCTGGGATTGCAGTGCGGCTTCCTTCCACTAGGCCACCAGAGCTCCCTACACTGAGGTTTTTTCCAAGATAACTAACAGGGTAGAAAAGGTTTATGGATCCTCATATTGTTGTTGTCACATGCTATCCAGTCAAGTATGACCCATAATGATCCAATGAACAACAGATCTGAACCCTGTCCTATCCTGTGCCATCCTCACACTTCCTGACACACAAGAGGCTATTGTGGCAGTCACTCTGTCTAATCCACTCAGTTGAGGGTCCCCCTCTCCTTTACCAACCCTCTGCCTTTCTGAGCATCATGTCCCTCTCCAAGGAACAGCCCCTACTAACAACATGTTGAATATCCTCGGGAGTGGTCATCGACTCAACGAATCAACTACTCTCCCTCCCTCAATGCTCTTGGAGTTTGCAACTCACAGTCACAAGGGAAATTTTCTGCAAGTTCTGAGTCATCCCAATCTTTCAATGGTATACTGGTTGATCCCTCATTTAAAAAATTCCTTTGATGTCTCTTTTCTCCTCATGATTCTATTATCTCTACCTTTACCACCAACCTCAACTATCCATTCTCAAGCATTAACCATATCCTTCAGAATGGACACATTTTGACTCCTGACTCCTCAATACCATTGACTGTGACAAGTACAATATTTCAAATACTCATTCGTTGCCTTTGCCTTGGAAATAGATACTAAGATGGGTTCCATTTTTAATACCTACTGATCTTAAGTCTTGCTTGTTCTACGTCCCCATCTTTCACATTCAAAGAATTAAAGTTTCACTGTATTTGAACCTAGAGCCCTAAGTCCTCAAAACTTTAGCCTTTCTTTAAGTGCCTTATTTTATTTTCTCATAAAGCCTTCTAATCTCAAGAATCTTATTAAAAGCCTAGATTGAACTCCTTATAAAACTATCAAACTACTGATCACATTGGCCTTGGTGGTAACCAATCTTGGGATCCCAACACTCACTCTTCTTCCCAGCAGCACAACATCCCTTGAGAAAGTCACTGATCTGTAAACATCATGGCTGCTACAATTAATGTATCTATTGCAGGTCGGTACTGTTTGCTGCATGGCAATTACTTTCTTCTTCTATTAATGACTCCCTGTTGCATTTCACAGAGCAGCGGTTCTAAATCTTTCCCAGTCTCCTCCAATTCACAAGCACAGTCTTACCTCTACTCATCCAACTATTCACTACCTTTTCTCATTCTAAAGAAAAGTGAATGAAGCTCCTCCTCTTCACCCAGGAGGGTGGTGATAAATATTTAACAGCTGGCTACTTAAAAAGACCTCAGTGAGGCCTGATTTGTAGTATCTTCTGACTTCCAACACATCTAAATATCCCTAGCACATTTTTTATTATTTGGTAGGAAGATGAGGAAGCGGAGACAAATGTGTCTAATGAACTGGAAAAAAGCAAGTACAGAACATCATGGAATGAAATGGAAAAAGTCCTGCATCTCCAACTGTCACCTATCCTTTCTCCTCTCTCAGAACAAAGGGTGGCTCTGCCTTCTGAAGTCCCTCCATCCTTTTCCACCTAGTATACGTAGGAACTTTGTGTTTTTCTTGGTCATCCAGCATCCTCCTTCCATATCTTTTGTTTCTTCCTCTGAATTAACTCCATTTCTCTGTTCCATACATTTCCTGGGGGCACAAGGGTTAATTAAGTACTTGACCACTAGCCAGAAGGTTAGCAGTTTGAACCCACTCCAAAGTGCCTCAGGAGATAGGCCTGGATATTGGCTTCTGAAAGGACACAGCCTCAAAGACCTCGTGAAGCACTATTCTGCACACCCAGGGTCACCATTCCCCATGAGCTGGAACTGACTTGATGGCAACTAATAACACAATGTTTACCGAACTTGCTCAGAAGTATGTCTCTGAAATCCACACAGGCGAGACTTATCATGATAATCATTCCATTCAATATAAAAAAAAAGTGTAAAAAAAGATCACTGCCATCGATTCAGAGCTGATGTATAGTTGAGCTTCCAGCAGGTATTTGGAAGCTGTAAATCTCATGGAAGGGCACTGCTCATCTTTTCCCCTTGGAACCTTGGTGGCTTCAAACTCCCAGAGAGGTACCACCTTTGAGTTAGTGTCACAACTTCCTACCCACCCTACTTACTCTTTTCTATTATACGTAATTAGTAAGACCTTTGTGCAAAGAGATTATTTCCCACATCAACTAACTCAAATTTCTGTATTTTTTATTTTATTTAGTTCTTTTTATTTGAATAGTTATAGTTTTCATTTTCATATAACCACTCATATACATGTTGTTTTATAACCTTTGTTTCCATTGATTAAGATATTTACAGTATCAAATCAAACTCTTACTGTGTATTTCATTTACTTCCTAAATCGGAATCATAACTGTGACATAGTTGAATGCATGAATGACTACATAAACGAACGAATGACATAGTGTTGACAAAGTGGAGAAGAAACATCCTTCAAAATCTTAGGGGAGAAATTACCTCTATTTTTTTTTTTTTCATTTGTGCATTTGTTAATGTTTAACATAAAGTGAAGGCTGTAAAATAATTTTGTGAATGGAATTTCTTGGATGCATGATTTAAGCATCTACCAATACCGTAAAAGTAGAAATGTGGTTTCTTATTGGGGTAATGCAAAACTTAGTATGTAATGTAATTTGAGAGAATGGATAAACAAATAAATAGTCATTATTTGGTAAAGATTTGTTACTCAGCCTGTAAGTAATGATAGTAACTATTGTGAATAACCTCTATCTTATTACCTCTGATCGAACTGCCCCCATTGTCTCCAGGGAGCCAAGAAAGGGTAATGGAGGAAGACGTGGTTTTGGATACTGTAAGCCGAGGTTGATCTGGTGGAACTAGATAGGAAACAGTGTTTTAAAAAAAGAATAAGAATTAGTTTTTCCACATCTTTAAGCTTTCTTAACAGTCATTTTTACCAAATCATTTTTAACAGCCATTTATTAAATAAATGTTTTAGGTTGCCAAAATATGCAATTCACTTCTGTCAAAGTGTCTAGTTAGTTGATATCCTGGGCTAAAGAGATAGAGCAGAGTGAATCTATTATTTAAGACAGTTGGCTCTCACAAAAACTCAGCCCCATTTCTACTTTGATTTATAGCTCACTCATTTCCTCACAATTTTTTTTTAAATTCCTGAATTGTTCATTGTTAATTGAAATCTTTCCTAAACCTAATAAGGTGGCATGCATCATTTTACTCTGGATTTCTGCCATGACTCAAGTGAGGAAGATCAATGACAAGCAGCCAGCTGTTCTGTGATCCTCAGGAATGGAAAGGAGCAGGGGGAGGAGACACTGAGGGTCCCTACTTGTGACTCACTCCACTGCTAACTGAAAGGAAGGCAGCGTGAACCCCCTTGTCACTGCCCTTGAAGAAAGGCCTGGTGACGTGTTCCCACACAGCACAGCCCAGGGCACCCTGTGAAGCAGTCCTCTGAAACACAGAAGGTCATCACGAGTTGGAAGTCAGATGCCAATGAATTTTTAGTTGGGGTGGATTTTTTTCATTTTTAATAAGTCAAACCAGTTTCTTATGAGTCAACCAAGTCTTAGGATAACACTATGTGAACCAGAGTAGAAATGTGCTTCCTGACTTTTAAAAAACCCAGCCTGAAAGGCTGAGTTTTCACCAAGAGATTTCCAGGGATTCCTCCCAAGGCACCTCTGGACAGACTCAAACCAGCACATTTCTGAGTGTTCAGCAGAAGCCCTTAGGACACAGTGGTTAAAGCACTGGGCTGCTAACTGAAATATCAAGCTCACTGCCTGCTCTGTGGGAGACAGGTGTAGCAATGCACTTTAGTAAAGATTTGTAGCATTGGAAACTCTGTGCGGCAGTGTATTCACATCAGTGCACTTGGCTCTATGTGTTTCAAGCACACAACATGTGTCTTGTACACACACACACACACACACACACACACACACACACACACACACACACACACACACACACACACACCCCGCTCAGCCCTGAGGCCAAAAGTGTATGCCTCTGAGCTGCAGCACATGGATTTAAAAGCCTATGTAAGGCTTAAAGATCACATACTTCTAGCTAATAAGTCTGCATATTATTTCAAACTGGCTCTGAGGCCAGAAACACCAAAGGAAATAGTGAAATTCAGAATCCGATTACCCAATTTGCATAGAAAATTTCACATAAAATGTCTTCTCTTCCTCTGAGAGAAGTAGTTTGATACTTTGAGTCAAGGCCTGAGCAGCAGACCTAACTCTTTAGAGTCACTGAAGAGTGTCTCTTTTCTAAAATAGAAATGCTCAAGGACATCAATTAACTTGAAATTCCAGCTCAATTTTTGCAAGTTTGTTCTGGGTTTGTTTGTTTGTTTTAATGTATTCTTCCCCCTCTTCCCTCACTCCTTCCTTGCTTACCACTACTACGGACAATGCTGGTTTTGGTTTCTGCTGCCTGAACTTTACAAGCCTGATAACACTTAAATTCAAGCAATATATACTTTCATTTCTCTACCAATAATAAATCCAACATAAACCAGATCAGTAGTCATCTAGGAATTTTATTCACAATGCTAATACAAAGAGCTTTGAGAATTGTCTACTTTCTGTGTAGACAATATCAAGAAATAAATTTAAATTTCCTGTATTCAATACACTCAGCTATTTTAGTAATATATTTAGAGCTTCTGTTAGGTTCATTTTTGCATACAGTACATATAAAAATTTAGCAGAAAAATTTATTAGCAGACATAAGCGTACAATTAAGACCCATTATATTCAAATTTTGTTTGTGCTTTGTGAGTTATCCTTATAGACGTATAAATAGTGCAGTCAGTGGAAATTTTAATAACCTCTTAATGAAGACTTTTTCAGAGATGCATATATAAAGAGAAAAGGGACTATATACATATTAAAGCATAAACATGCTCTAGCTCTGGAATTATGAAAATATATTTCATTTTCTTTGATTTGTTAAATTATATTTTCCAAAACTGACACACTTTTTTTGGTAATATGAAAATAGCAATTAGCTCTTGAGGTTGATTTTTAAATGTGCTTGATTTGAGTCTTTGCATAAAGGTATGTTTACAAACATGCAAAAGAAATCATTAAAAAATGTCTCAAACTCCCATACCTTGTACTTGTAAATTTAAAATGATCTCATCGGATCCCCAGTTGTTGTTGGCGACACAGCTGTAATAGCCAGAGTCTTCGGCCTTCACTGTGCGGATGATGAAGCTCCCGTTGCTGAAGATGCTCCTTCGCCCATCAATCGTTACTAGACTGGGTGTCCCGTTACTACCTCACAGGAAAAAAAATGCACAGATTAAAGAAATTACAACCCCAAATAGCTGAAGGTGGCGAAAAGCATACAGACTCTCTTGGAAGCAAATAATCCATTTGGAAGCTTAATAATTCTTAAATCATGTAAGAACTACAGTATAATTATATGATGGAGAGAATCAAGTAACTGAGTTTTGCTCTTTATAAAAAAAAATGGTGTGCTGAAGGGTAGGCCTGTGCCAAGGGCCTGGGTTCTGGTTCGAGTCAGTGGGTTTCTCACCCATGCCAACGACAGCTGTGTCTCCAAATGGGCTTCTCCCTCCTCCACTGATAGGCATCAGACACTTTCTCTGCTTGGCAATTCTGGGATTTCCTTCTGTGGGCAGAAGCACCAGTTTGACCAAATCGGTCTTCTGCACATAAAGGTAACTATCATTTGGGATCTCTTGGAGATTCACTTAAAGTTAAGTTGCTAATTACTTTGACATAAAAAATGAAATGGAATACCAAGAATGATGACTTGATCCTAGCAAAAAGAGATCTCCACCCTCATACCCAAGTGCCATGGTAATGGACTGCCCAGCAGCCTGCAACCACAGGCTGAACTTGACCTTGAGAGATGGCATACTTGTTTTGAATGAAGTGACTTCAGATGCGATGAGAAAAATGATGGCTGGTCTACACCTACTACTAAACTAGGTTAAGCCTTTCAAGTGCTTTTGTTTGAAAATAGTTGCTCTTTTGAATGATGTAAGATTTCTGTACTGATCAAGTGACTCTTAATTCTCATTTATGTGCACGTGCATGTGTGTGTGTGTGTGTGTGTGTGTGTGTGTGTGTGTAAAAGACTTAAATTTACTGCTGTGCGATTTACAGCCTCTAAAAATCCACTGTAGGAAGGGATAGCTATGAATTGGTTTAAGCTTGAAGGCAATGAGTTTGAGGGTGTTTTATACACAACACACACACATAAATATAATCTTACTTTTATCTATCTATGTAGATAAGGAGTTCCTAAGTGATGCAGTTGGTTAACACCCTGGGCTGCTAACTAAAAGGCTGATGATTTGAGTCTACTCGAAAGTGCCTCGAAAGCAAGGCCTGGTGATCTACTAAAAAAATCAGCCACTGAAAACCCTGAGGAGCCCAGTTCCACTGACACTCAAAGGGTCTACATGCATCAGAACTGATCCTACAGTAATTCATCGTTCTAAATCAGGCTTTGTATTCTAATGTATATCCTAGTTTCTTCCTCTGAATGAAATAAATCACTTTAAAAAGTTATATCGTTACCCACTTTTGATGTTGGATGCTATTATTTTAACAATTAATTTTGAATACTGAAAATCAGATTTTATATTTGAAAAGTACTAATGCATTCTATTTCTGTAAGATAATTTCTGAGAGAGTATGAGTGATGGATGGTTGGTATATTATCTTGAAGAAGAGCTAAGTCTTCCCATAAACTTGGGCACATTCATCTCAGTTACACAGACAAATAACAGGATAAGATACAGCAAACTTCCAAAGATTATTGGATTGATTAGGATCTTTTTCTTGAAAATGTCCCGTTGTGAATTTACAGGCTCTGAATTCAGAGAGGACTGACTTCGTAAGTCATATCCTTTAGGTGTTAAAGTGGAGGATGCCTTCTTCTCACCTCTCTTGACCCTCTAAGGGTTGGTAGATTTCCTGGAGTATTCACTATCACTAATAAATTCACATCAAAAGACCATCAGGCCCAACACAAGGAGGCACCCCATAATTTCTTAGGGTTTAACTAAAGGTGTACATTGGGTTACTGGTTACCTGTCCTTCATCCACTTCACTGCTGGAGAAGGGTCTCCAACAGCTTTACAAGGTAAGACAATGTCTTTCATCCATGGAGTTGTCACTGTCCCACTGAAGGTCAGGATTCGAGCAGGAGCTGGAACACCAAGCAAAGTGGAAGCTCAATTCCTCCACTGGCCTGTCCACAACAGAGGCCAACATGGCCCTTCCAAATAGAGCAAAACACAAAGAAAGGACTGGACGAATGTCCGTTAATGATTCACCCCTTAGCATTGTTCTCGGATAGTAAACATAGAAGGGATTTTTTATTGCAAGAACATACAAAAGAATAGCTGCCTTATTGTCAATTTTTTTTCCTATTGAGTAAACATAAGAAATCTAAATTAAGTATTTGGAGGCTTCATAAGCTGAGCAGCTACAAGCTGTGTTTTCTATGAGTCCAATTATTCTCCAAAACATTTTATTAAGCAATTTATCTCAACACCAAAACTACACATTAAAATATACTTTTAATATCTGAGAGAATAGAGACCACAAAGCATAAAGCCCCCAAAGGCAAGAGGAAGTAAAGCTGGAAAAACTAGAATGTATCAATTTTGTGGCACTTTCCTGCCTTTATTATATCAACTTAACCTTCAGCACAGCCATGAAGGAAGATGCACATTGTTGAGAAGTTTTTCTTTAATAACACTTTGCTTGGGACAATGGCCCTGACGCCCAAGTAGGAGGATTTCTAGGTGTGTCTGTAAATAGATCAGTCACAAAATAGGTGGTGTAGACAAGAAAAAGCCTCAGGCGGACCTGCATGGTTAGGGGCCTGCTACCTGGACAACACCCTCAACGGGCCACGCTGTAACTGGTTGCTAGCACTTCATCCTTGTCTTTTGTTGTTATTATTGTTGTTAGATGCTGTCTAATTGCATCTAGCATACTGATTCATAAAAACCCTATGAACAGGCCTGAACCCTGCCCTATCCTATGTCATCCTTATCTTCCTTCTTATCTGTAGCACATAGATTCCTTTACTGAAGTCACTGATTCAGTCCATTTCTTTGGGTGTCTTCCTGTTGTTGTTATGTGCCATCAAGTAGCCTGCGACTCATAATAACCCTATGTACAACAGCCCTAAACCCTGTTCTATCCCATGCCAAACTTATTGTCTCCTGCACACATATCACCATTACCGTAGTCACTGAATCAATTCACCTCATGGAGGGTCTTCCTCTTCTGAGCTATTTCTCCAACCTCCCAAGCATGACGTCCCTCTCCAAGGACTGTGCAACATGTACTAAGTATGTCAGACAAAGCTTCAGAATCTTTGCCTCTGAGGAGCAGCCTGGCTTCACCCTCTCCAAGATGAAATTGTCTGTTCTCCTAGCAGTCCATGGTATACTCAAAAACTCTTCTCCAGAACCACAGCTCAAAGGCATCAATTCTCCTTCTATCATCCCTAGTCACTGTCCAGATTTCTGATCAATAGCAAGTAATTACAAAGACCATGGTATGTATCAGACACACCTTAGTCTCCAGATTGACATCATTGCTCTTCAGTACCTTGGAGAGGTCACTGACAGCAGACTTTCCCAATGCAATTCATCTTTTAATTTCCTGGCTCCTGATACCAAGAGTGTTGATTGTACAGCCAAGCAAACTAAATCTGTTAACAATTTCAGTCTCCTCACCATCTATCATGATGTTGTCAATAGGCTCAGTGGTGAGAATATTTGTTTTCTTAATGTTGAGCTTCAATCCATATTGAAGGCTACAGTCCTTGACCTTCTACAGCAAGTGCTTCAGGTCCTCCTCATTTTCAGGAAGCAGGGTTGTGTCATCGGCATAACACAGATGCTGTTGTTGATGAGTCTACCTCTAATCCTGAGGCTACATTTCTCCTCATGGAGCCCAGCATCCAGGATAATCTGTTCCACATATAGATTGAAAAGATACGGAGATAGGACCCATTGTTGGCACACACTGTTCCGAGTTTTGAACCATGCAGTGTTTCCTTGCTCTGTCTGACAACTGTCTCCTGGTTCCAGTATAGGTTTTGCATATGCACAGTCAAGTGTTTTGGGATTCCCATTCTTCTCAGAGTCAGCTACAGTTTGGTATGATCCACACAGTCAAGTGCCTTTGCATAGTCAATGAAACACAGACATTCCTCTGGTACTTTGTGCTTTCAGCCAAGATCGACATTAGCTCTAATATCCCTAGTGCCACGGCCTCTTCTAAACCCAGACTGGACTTCTCGCAGTTCTCTGTTGATGTGCTGGTCTAGTCATTTTTGGATAATCTTTAGCAGAATCTTGCTTGCATGTGATATCAATGATACTGTTAGATTATTTCTGCACTCTCTCAGATCACCTTCTTGGGAATGGAAACAAATATGGATCTCTTCCAGTCAGTTGGCCAGGTGATTGTCTTCCAGATTGCGCGGCACAACTTGGTTAGAATATTCAGGGCAGGGTCTGTTCATTGAAATATGTCAATTGATAATACCATCAATTCCTGGGGCTTTGTTTTTGCCAATTCTTTCAGAGCAGCTAGAACTTCTTCCTTCATTACCACAGGCTCTGGTTCATACATTGTTTTATGAAATTCTTCTGTGTCCATCAATTCCTTTTGGTACAATAATTCTGTATACTCTATCTTTCCTTAATGCTTCCTGGATCATTCACTCTCCTGTCCAAAGCATCCTTAAGTATTGCAATTCTAGGTCTGAATGTTTTTCAGTTCCTTCAGCTTTAGAAATGCTGAGTGATTTCAGCCCTTTTGATTTTCTGACCCCAATTCCCTGCGTATTTCATTGTAATATTTTGCTTTGTCTTCCTGCACTGCTCTATGGAATCTTCTGTTCAACTCCTTAATATCTTAATTTCCTCCCCTTTTTCTTTGGCTTCTCAGCCTGCTAATGAAATATTCAGTTTCTTCTGACATCCATCTTGGTCTTTTCCCCTTTCTTCTGTCTTTGTAATGACATTTTGTATTCTTCCTGGATGATATTCTTGATATCCTGCCACAGCACCCTCATTTCTAGGACTCTAATTTCTGAAGCGTGATCAGGAGTCAGAGGTAGGTTTCTCCCTTTATTTTCATCAGTGGGCTTCAGGCCCTCTGGTGGATTAGTGGCTAAAGGGCTCAGCTCTTACCCAAACAACTGGAGTTTCAAACTCAATGCTGCTCCACTGGAAAAAGATGTGGCACTCTGTTTCTCTAAGAATTTTCAGTCTTATAAACTCTATGGAGGCTATTTTACTCTCTCCTATAGGGTCACTATGAGCAGAAATGACTCAGTAGCAGTGCATTTGACTTTGCTTTGGTGGGTTCCACATACTTTCATGAGAATTGGGTCCATAAGTCCCCATCCTTCAAGACCACAGGCTGGCCTAATGTGTAGACAAAGTATAGTTGAAAAGAGGTACCAATTTTATGCTGGACCCATAAAGGTGGGACCAGGGTTGCCTCCTGTACCCACTGTAGGCTTACAGGTTTGGATAAGCAAAGAGAATGATAAGTTAAGTCCCCAAAAAATGTTTGAAATGCCAGGAAATGACATTTCCAGAGTTTCTTCATTACAAAGTCAGCCTGGTTCTCAGTGTGAACTTTGGTCACTGACATCTTTCAAGCCACTCATCTTTTTGTTGTTTTGAGCCTGGGGGGCAGCAGCACAGAGGAAGAAGAGTTACCAGAAGCCCCAGAGGCTAGACTTGCAGTCAAGACAGCACTATAGAGCCATGATTTGCAGTGGCTTCTCCTGATTGAGGTAAAAACTGAGGCTCTTCAGAGCCTGCCTGTGTGCAGGTTCGTCAGAGATGGCTCCTGTATTGTGCATCCTTTTATCACGAAGTGCTCTATTCTGATGACATGATCATTTTATCTGCCATCTGTATTTCTGATTTTCTATCATGATAACAAAAGAGATTCTGGTTCAGGCAGTGTCAGATTTCTGACATCGGCAGCTGTCGGCATTTTCTTTTCAAGTTTTTCAGACTGTTCTTTTATGTGATAGATCATGTTCTCAACAGCAAAATGGGAGTTATTAAGGAAATTCATCTATAGACAGGAGCATTCAAACTCTTATCAAAAGCCGATTTTAAGAAGTGCATTTTACACTGAAAACCAGTAGCCATGCATATATAGTGGGATTAAAGGTGGTAAGTGAAAACATGTACATATTCTACATTTTTGGTTTATTCTGCTTTGTTTGAATCCATTCCACTTTAGTTCTTTAAAGTGCTGATTATAATCTCTTAAGTGAATCCTGAGGCCTTTGAGATTCCCAACTAGCAATTTGACAGCCTGACTGAAACTACTTCTATCTTTAAGACCAGTATTTAAGTATTTAATTGAAATGTAAAGGGCCCTAGCTAAATATTCTAAGACAAAACAACAGGACTGTATAGATCTCAAACTGGAACAGGCAAGAGGATCACCTTGAATTTTCTGTTAAAAATGCATACCCCCATACTCCTTTTGGCCCTCTTGGTTTACTGGATCACTGGTACATTCAGGTATCTGTGATGACGAACTGTGTAGCTTCCCTGCCACAGGGACATCTATTCTCATGCCTGTTCTCTGGGCCATACTCTGTGCTGACTACATCGTCCCGGATAGAGCTTCCCTCAGATGGCATCCATGCTTCTCTTCGGTCATTCCTTCTGGGAGCCAAGTCTGGCTTTTGAAACTTGCTACTTCTCAAATGATTTGCACTGTTGCCAGTTTCCTTAGTCTCCAAATGGCAGAAAATAACCTGCAAAAAAATGTTCTGCCTTTGGGCATTGAGGTTGTGCTTTTCTACCTAAATAGATGATCAACCAATTTCTGGGCATGCCTGCTTGACTGAATGACGTCTACATTCCTGATGTATCTTGTAGCCCAGCTCCTATCCAGAAAGCCCATCTTGAACAATTCTTACTCTCTCTGAGTGAATTTTATTTAAACATGAACAGCTGAGAATTTCTAGAGAAATCTATGCAACAGTGTGTTCAGAGACCACCATACATGGGTGAAAGGAATACTTCTGACATGGTTCTTGACAAATCAGCCTGCCCACTTAAAGTCAGCAGTTCAACTGAACCCACAAGCCACTCTGAAGGAGAAAGATGGGTAGTCTCATGTAAAAATTCACAGACTTGGAAATCAGCTGGAGGGTCACTATGAGTCAGAACTGACTCGACAGCAGTGGATTTAGTTTGGGTCCACGTATAAAGGAGCACTAGTGGTGAGGTGGTTAAATACTTCACTGCTAATCAAAGTCTTCTTAACGTTAGCCACAACTTGTTAGTATCCACACAGTAAAATGCCTTTGCATAGGCAATATAGCACAAAGAGGCATTCTTCTGGTATTCCTTACTTTCAGCCAGGAACAATCAGCAGTGATATTCCTGGTGCCACGGCCTCTTCTAAATCCTGCTTGAACTCTGGCAGTTCTCTATCTATGTACTTTTCTACCCATTTTTGAATGATCTTCAGCAGTATTTTGTTTGCATATGGTATCAATGATATTGCTCAGTAGTTTCAACATTCAGTTGGATCTTCTACTCCGTCAGCTTGATAGCCATCCTCCAAATTTCCTGGCATAGCTGGTGAGTGCATCCAAGGCTGCATCTGTTAATTGAAACAATTTAATTGGTATCCCATATGTCCCTGGGCCCTTATATTTTGCCCGTGCCTTCAATGCAGCTTTTACTTCCTCTTTCATTGCCATTGGCTTCTGTTCATATCATACTTCCTGAAATTGCTCATTCTCTTCTTTCTGGTACAGTGACTGTGTATTCCCTCCTTCTTTTGATGCTTTCTGGATCATTCAATGAATATTGCCCAAAACATCTTTTTGTGACACAAAGCAATTAATTTGTCTTCTGCTCTTTTGGCTTGAGAAATGCAGAGTGAGTTCCTTCCCTTTGTATTCTCCAATTCCAGCTCTTCGCATATTCCATTATAATCCTTTGCTTTGTACTCCTGAGTACAAAAATCTGTTCAGCCCTTTCACTTTGACATATTTTCCTTTTGTTTTGGCTTCTCAACACTCCAATGCAATCTTTAGAGTCTCTTCTGACATCCATTTCGATTTTTTTTCTTCCCCCCTGTTTCTGTAATGACCTTTTTGCTTTCTTCATGGATGATATCATTGATATCATCCCTCAACTCATCTGATCATTGATCATAGGTGTTCAGTGCCTCAAAACTATTCTTAACGAATTCATGAAATTCAGATGAGATTTACTCAAGATCATATATTGGTTCCTGTGGACTTATTTTAGTTTTCTTCAACCTCAATTTGAACTTGCTTATGAGTAATTAATGATCTGACCCACAGTCCAGCTTTGGCCTAGTTTTGACAGTCATATTGAGCTTTTCCAATGATTTCTTCCACAAATATAGTCAATCTGATTCCTATTCAGCCCATCAAGTGACATGCATGTGTCATCATTTGTGTCTTTAAAAAAAGATATTTGCAATGAATAAATTAATGTAAATACAAAATTCAATCATTCTATTTCCAGCCTCATTTCTATCACCAAGCCCTTATTTTCCAAGTTCATGGCTTCCTACTTTTGCATTCCAGTCCCCAATTATCATTAACATATATTGATTGCATGTTTGGTCAATTTTCAGACTGTAAGATTTGGTAAAAATTTTCAATTTCTTCTTCTTTAGCCCTAGAGGTAGGAGCATATATTTGAATAACAGTCATGTGAGTGGGCCTTCCCTGTATGCATATGGACATTATTTTATCACTCACAACATTGCATTTCAGGATAGAACTTATAATTGACTTAAATAAGACTATGAATGCTACATCATTTTTCTTCGTTTTTCATTCCCTGATACCATATGATTATCAGATTCAGTGTGGCCAAAGAATGATGAGGCTTTGACTCACATACTTTGGGCATGTTGCTAGAAGGTGCTATTCCTTGGAAAGGGACATGATGTTGGGAAGGGTGGAGATCAGTGAAGAAGAGGAAGACCCTCAAACAGGTCCACTGACACAGTGCAATGGGTTCTTGTATTCCAGGAAGTGTGAGGATGGTGCAGGATAAAACAGAGTTCACCTCTTTTGTTTATAGGGTTGCTATGAGTGGTACTTGACTCGACAGCATCTAACAACAACAACAAAGTAAGTGACTCAAAGCCTTGTCCTCAGAAGAAAAATGTGGAGGCCTGCTTTCCACATTCTTGCTATCTTTCTCTCCATCTTTCTCCATAATCCACCAACCACCAAATTCTTTCAGTTCTATATCCAAAACTTACCTTGATCCAACTTCTTCTTCAATCTGTACTGGCAAATGTTAGTTTAATCATGCAGAGTGACTGCTTTGACTCGTTAACTGCTCATTATTTTATGTTGCAAATTCCTTAGCCAGTACATTATAAAGTATTTCTGTTAAGAATTGCTAAAAGTAAATTTGACATTTTGGAATACTTGTTTGCTATTTCAGACACCTGGAGGCTTATTAGTAACAGATTGTCAACACTGTACCCTCCAACATCAGAGGCATCTCTTGGTTTGGAATTGTGATACAAAAAAAAAAAAATTTACTACCAAAGACTACATATGTCAGAAGCACTACATGGAAGCAATTATTATAATAGAATAAGATGATCCCACAGAAGATGGGCAATCCTCTCCCCTGTGATTAACCACCTTTAAAAACCCACTGTAGGGTCAGCTATGGGTTGGTTCCAACTCAACAGTACACAACAACAACTACAGTGAAAACATGCCTATTAAAAACATTCTAACATCTAAATGTGAAGGCTGTATATTCACTTTTAGGAACTTTCAGTTCTTTGGTGCCTTCCATAGCTACTTAAGGTCTCTGTTTATAGTATTTGAGCAAAATAATATTCAACTATTCCAAATTCTATAGATCAAACAATATCATTTCTTTTTAACATGATACATAATGTATGACCTTGAGGAAAGTAAAATTTCTTGGGAAAACAAACTGCTATGCAGTGGTGATCATCTATCTACCCAAAGGTAGGTGAACCCAAAAGCAGTTGAAAAAGTGGGAGTTGTACAACAACGAATGAATGGAAATCCTAAGTCTCTATAAACTTTCATTAAAATCTCAATTTAAAAAAAAAGTGCAACCAGGGGTATTCTTCAGAGGAAGGACGGTGAAATGCCATACTTTGAGCATGTTGTCAAGTGGAGCCAGTTCCCAGTTCTTGGGAAAGGCACCATGCTGGGATTGTTGGGGAGCTGGAATTGTGTAGGTGATGTCATATACTAAATAAAAAGTACTCAAACCCTCTCCCCCCAAAAAGAGAAAAAGTGGGATTTTGTTTATCTGATTTTTGCAACGACACCTTCAGATGCATAGCCACTCTTCCTTAGTGTTATCTTTGGTTACAGGGAGTCCTTTTCTGATCTGCACAAAAACACAGTCCTTTTAAAGAGCAGCTTGATTTGGGGGCTGGGATGTGGTAAACATTTGATGTTAAATAAAAAACAGTCAAACACGGTGAGAGACAGGTCCCAACTACTGCGGCGCACCTTTAGCTAATGGTTCCACTGTGATGATTTCACTGCTATTGCCTCTTCCAGCTGATGTCACAGCCACCACCCAGACACTGTACTGGCGATTCCGACTCAGGTTAGGGATTCGGTAGGAAAATGAGTCAGGGGAGGCTTCAAACTCGCTGATAACCTGTGAATGAGACATAAATGTTTCCACATTCAATGAGCTCCATGGGACAAGTGGCTTTCCTACAGAAACATTTATTAACATGTTACTGCCACAGAAAGTCTGCTATAACAAAAGTTATCACTAATCCTTTTAAAAATGACTTGTATTGCAACTTGAAAACCATTTTCATGATGACTTTAGGCAAGTCATATTTCACATTTTTCTATGCAGCAGTTTGAGAGCCACTACCAGGTGAATTAGTCCATAATTTAGCCCTTTCATTGGTAACAACACTTCTGCTTTCTCTCAAGATGGTGTAATAAGAATTGCACTTGCCTTCTAATATGAAATAATTAAACACGTCAAGTGTACAAAATCATTTGAAAAACACTTATATCAAGCAGTGGAAAGTAGTGATTCTGTTAGCAAAGACACCATTGCTCTTCAGCACTTTGGAGAGGTCCCTAACAGAAGACTTTTCCATAGCAACACGCTTTTAATTTCCTGGCTACTGGTGCCAAAAGAGTTGACTGTGGAGCCAAGCAAACTAACGCCGTGAACAATCTCAATCTCAATTTCTTCAGCATCCATCCTGGCATGGGGCATTTTGAGTCGGATGATCATATGATGTATTATTCTGGAGATGAAAAGGTGAGGAAAAATGGAGTTGCTTTCATAGTTAAGAAAGCCATTGCTAGATCCATCTTGAAGTACAATATTGTGAGTGACAGGATAATATCCATTTGCATACAAGGAAGGACAGTGAATACCACTCTCATTCAGAGATATGCACCAACAACCAAAGCCAAGTAAGAGGAAATAGAAGATTTTTACCAACTTTTACAGTAGGAGAGCAATCAAACATGCAATCAAGAAGCACTGATAATAATGGGTGACTGGCATGCAAAAGTTGGGAACAGAAAAGAAGATTCACCATTTATACAAAAGATTAATAAGAAAAAAATTAAAAATAATTTCACAATAGAAATTTCCTTTATTAGAAAGGAAATTCTCTATAGACACTTCTCAAGGCTAGAAAATAACAATCTCTTTAGTTGTTCTCATTAATTAGTTGAGAATGTTGGTTTCATTGTTGCTGTCATCCTTTGATGCCACTAACTTAAGTTCCAAACTTAAAATAGTTTCATTCAATGACTCATCATAGTAAGTTCTAATACTTTTTTTTTCAATTTTCATTCTCACTGCCTTGTATTATCAGTGTCTTTATAAATACAATCTTAGTTTGTCTCTATCTACCCAAAGGTAGGTGAACCCAAAAGCAGTTGAAAAAGTGGGAGTTGTACAACAACGAATGAATGAGAACTGATGTGAGAATGATGATATTAGAAAATTCCATGCTGGAGCACTATACTGTAGTATGCATCACTAATATAAAATTTAAAAAAAAGTCCCAAATAGTAAAAAGTACAGTTGATAATATCTCAAGTACATCATAAATTGGGAACTATCTGTACATCCCCCTAATAATTATCAAATTAATCACCATAATCCTATTCTCAGAATAAGAACAAAGAGAAAATTTCCAAGTGAAAAATAAGTAATTAGAATCTGATTAATTTTCATTGTAATCAATGTAAGAAGATAGTAAATCTTTCTTTGTAGTCTTGAAGTTCTTTAAATGTTCTTAAGGAGTGAGACAGTCTCAAAGATCCTCCTATTGCCTTTCTTAGTGAAATATATTTGACTATCTATACAACAATTGTTGGTTCTGATGCCTTGTCAACTTTCTAGACTTCCTTAAGCTAAGTCAGTATCAAGAACTTTTTTCTTGAGAGATACCTGGGTTCATTTACACTTAGACTAAAATGTCTTAGAGACCACATAGATGATAAAGATCGTTAGTTGTGTCATACTTCAGAAGACTAAATGCTAACATAGTGGCAGGCTAGATATTACTTCTAGTGTTTGGTAGAGTGTCATGGTTAACTTTACATGTCATCTTTTTCTATTTCTGTTCCATAGTGAAATACAGTACAGTACAACCATCTTTCATGACATGATCTACTATGTCCAACTAAGCATTTGGAAAGGGAATTTTTCTTGATGGTATGGTTTGACATTGAGAACATATTTAAATATTCTAGCAAAGCTGGCACACCACACCCCCCCATACACCCACACCCACACCCACACTCACATTCTCTCTCTCCTGTCTCTCTCTCTCTCCTTCTCTCTCCTTCCCTCCCTCCCTCCCTGATATCTCTCTCTCAGCCCCCAATCTCTCTCTGATCTCTCTCTCCAATCACTCCCTGATCTCTCTCCATTCTCTCTCTCTCTCTCTCTCTCTCTCTCTGAACTCTCTTTCTCTATCTCTCTCTCAGCCCCCAATCTCTCTCTGATCTCTCTCTCCAATCACTCCCTGATCTCTCTCCATTCTCTCTCTCTCTCTCTCTCTGAACTCTCTTTCTCTTAACTCTCTCTCTCATCTCTCTCTCTCTTAACTCTCTTTTTCCTAACTCTCTCTGAACTCTCTCTCTCCTAACTCTCTCTAAACTCTTCTCCACTGACCTGTGAATTTTGGAACATATGTCTAGAACAGTTTTTGGTCTGCTGTCTGACTTTAAAAAAAAGAATCGGATTTATCAGTCATTCCCTGGCAACCTTATCCACAGGGTTCTCCAGCTTTGTCCTATAAACTATGGATTTGGGACTTGTCAGTCTTTGCAATTATGTTAAATTTCCTTGACGTATATCTTTCTCTCAGTTTCTTTTCTCTAGAAACTGTAAGATACTAAGTCCTCTGTTTGAGGACATCTTTATCCAAGGATGCTTACACATGGACCCTGTAGGAGATAACAAGCCAGGATGCCTCTAGTGGAATGGTTGCAGACAGCAGAAGCAAGTGTCTCTATTAGAGGCATGTGCTTCATATTATGTAACATAAATATCGAACTATCACTTAGATGTGGACAATGTAGAAATTCACCATTAATGACAATTTTGAGCTGAGATGATAGGCCGTGGTGGGGGTGGAGGACACCTCACATAAACTGAAAGAAGAAATCAGAAGCTCATTAAGGATACAAAATAATAATAACAACACTCATTGTCATCCATTTGATTCTTACTCAGTGACCCTGAATGGAATAACAGAACTGTTTGGCAGCATTTTCAAGGTTGTAATCTTTATGGAGGTTGACTGTCATATCTCTCTCCCATGAGCCAGCTGGTACGTCCACAGTACTTCCATTTTAGTGAGAAATGAGTGCTTTACTATTGTGTTATCAGAGTTCTTTTTATTAAGAGTTGCTGTTACGTGCTGTTGAGTCATATGTGACCTACTGCAACACTATGTACAGCAACTCTGAACTCTGCCCTATCCTAAGCCAGTAACACTAACTTAGACACACCAACTCTTATTGCCCCATTCACTGTATCAATCCATCTCATCCAAGGCCTTCCTCTCTTACGCTGTCCCTCCACCCTTCTAAGCATGATGTCTTTCTCCAAGGACCAATCTCTCCTAGCCAGGTACATGCCCAAAGTATGTGAGATAGAGCTTCAAAATCCTGGCCTCCAAGGAGAAACTTAGTTTCACCCTCTCCAAGACAGACCTATTTGTTTTCTTGGCAGTCTATGATATGTTCAAGACTCTCCTCCAGCACCAAAGTTTGGAGACATCAATTCTGTCAACATTAGTCATTGTCCAACTCTCTGAAACTTAACAAGTAATTGCAAAGACCACGGCCTGGATTAGGCACACCTTAGTCTCTAGACTGGCATCGTTGCTTATCAGCACTCTGGAGAGGTCTCTGACAGCCTATTTTTCCAATGCAATTAGTTTTTTTATTTCCTTATTTCTGGTGTTAAAAGTGTTGACTAGGGAACTGAGCAAGCTGTAATTGTTAACAACTTCAATCTCCATCTATCATGATGCCATCAATTGGCCCAGTGGTGAGAATCTTTGTCCTCTTGATGTAGGGAGGCTAAAGACATTTGTTTTGAGCAAGAGGGATAATGAATATTTTATCATTGCAAAACATCTTCCTCAATATTTTAATGTGAGATATAATACCAATGATTATATGTCATTACTTTCCTTTTCATTGAATACCAGATTTTTAAGACCAATACCTAATAATTTTGAGGCTGATTTGCTAATTTCTACATGCATTTAATTATGGCTCTCTGTCATAAATCCTGGGAATATTAATAAGAAGGGATTGAATTTATTTCCATATTACTTAAACAAGCTAAAGGTAACAGACAGAACCAAAGCAGAACTTGAATTTCAAAGACAATCTGATTTAAAAAAAAAATATGTATCATAAAAAAGCCCACAAACTCAAAATATCATTTGTTAACTCCATTAGGAATTAATGAACCAAATATTATGAACAGAGAAATTTGTAAGAAAAGAAGAAAACAAGTACTTTAATTTTTCTGATAGATGTTCAACTCTCACTTATAGTCTTTTCTGCTTCTGAGTTTGAACAGAGATATTGGCCATTCTAGAAGATTTTAAAATGGAAGTTAATTTTAAGTAGGTTACTATACTTATACTTCACTTCAGTTTTAAGAGAGCAGTTAGTTATTTCTTGTTCTTGAGGAACACAGAAACACTCAACATTAAGCAAGTGGTGGGACGAGGTATAAATTGAGCGAACATACTTCCTCATAGAGAACATAGCTCCACAGCTCACTTCTAAATGTTCTCTGTGCCTTGCATGAAGGAGTAAGGAGCTGGGGTTACTAATTATTCAGCATCTTTAGCAAATTTCTATTAGCCATCTTAGAAGAACCTATGCTTTTCTCATCTTAAAATTATTTAAAAATGGCATTTGTATTGGAATCCGTGTTAACCTGACATCGATTACTTACTTCCCAATAAGAATGGTTCTAAGGGAAGACAAAGTTGTTGACTGTTTGGTCCACCTGAGATTGCAGAATAGGAAGAGAGATTTTCATTCAACTCTCCAGCTAATTGTATGCAATGAGGATACCCATGACATCTGAGGGGGACAGGAGGACATTCACTAAAAATATTTTTTAAATGATGT